TGACTTAAACTTGTTTTTTCAGGTTATGAGTGACGTAAATCGGCAACGAGCATCAAAACCCGCGTATCCATACAAAAAAAGGCGTTTGAGATATGCACGCTTACAACAAAAAATAGTAAGTATATATAAATGCTTTAATATGATATAGTTAGAGTACGAGAAAAGTGAAGCTTAAGCTTATTATCTGTCTTAATGTGTAGTTAGAAGAGGAGAAAAGTGATGCAACATCTCTTCCGGACCATGTTTTGTGGAAGGCTGCCCGTGTGGGTAGAGATGGAGTCATTCAAGAAGAAGTTCAACAAGTTTATGAGCAATATGTACGTACAATATTAGTTCTGTCATAAACTCAAAAGTGTATAATATATTTATGCTTTTATCTATATTTCAGGAGAGTCTATCCCATACTATAACTGCAGCTGAGGACGATGATTGCAGGAGCGTACTGAGTCGAGTGTTAAATATTCCTGAGTATTCTGGGCGTGTGAGGGGTAAGGGATTTGGTGTCACTCCAACAAAATTGTATAAGCAGCCAAAGAATAAAAATCCTAGCAATAAACAAGTGATGGAAACGTTGAAAGAAATGAAAGCTCAAATCCGTGAATTGCAAAAGGACAAAGAGAGATACATGTCAGAAAGGTGCGATCCAGAGTGTAAAGATACTAGTGACAAAGATAGTATCAATTGTAATTGTCCGCAGAAGCTTCCAGAGGTAATTATATATATTACATTGAAACTAATTTAGCATAATTTTCTTAATTGACACATTAATCATATTCATTATTTGTTTAGGGCATTTCACCTTGTCGGCTATATTTATCGTCACCGACTTATCACATGGTTGGCAAGGGAAAAATGTATAACACTTTAGGAGACTTACTTCATCATAAACCGCTCCCTGCTGGATTTTTGAAAGTATCGGTTGATATTGCTTTAGAGGGGGGTGTTGTTGCCTATACCAGATGATGTTTCAGATGCAACAGCGGTGGGAGACGCAATAGGATCGTATGTTGCATGGCCGTCAAATCTAATTTTCATAGATGATGAGGTAGGTTGAACACCATTATGAACCTTGTAGTATTCATATGTTTTATGACCCATACATGTATGTTATTCTTACATTTACGTATCACTTATTTACATGATGTTAGACTCCTACAAAATCCAAATCAAAAGATAAGGGAATTATGCGGGAAACCGAGTCGGCTGCATCAAAAAAACAAATACCACTACAATTACGTGATGATCTTATACATTAATTACTAAATTTATATGACTTTTAGGTTCATGCTCAACAGTTGCAACAAGTCAGCAAGGGTAAGATGCCTGAATCTAGCAAGGTGCCCAACAAAAAAAAGGCCGAGCCAAAAAAAGCATTTGTTCCTCGATTTAGGTTGTACCTTGAAACATATGTAGGAACAACAGATGTGGTTGAGGGTGGCATCCGTCAAATACCTATGGAGGAAGGTATTTTCGGTTTTGAATATGCCGAAACAATTGCTAAAGAGGATTTGGACCAGATTTTCCAATATTCTGAATTGGGCATCAGTGTTATGCATTCCTACATCAGGTACTCCGATCAATTTTAATTAAACAATTGAACAATTTATTTGCTCATTTAAATGAATATTCTAATGTTGATTATGCTTTTATTTAAGGTTCTTGTATGACAAGTTGTTGGTCCCGCATCAATTGACTTCAAGATTCGCATTCTTATCTGCTAGCTGTATCAACTCACGGTCAATCGATCACACTCCAGATGTAGTCAGCGATTACATTGGCCGCAGATATAGAGAAGTTGTATTTTTTGCCATATAATACTGGCCATGGGTTAGATTTCATTCTAAATTCATTTATTATAATTATTCGTTTTTTGCCATTCTATATAACATTTCCGTCTAAACTTTTGTCTTATTTTACAGTGGACACTGGTTGTTGGTTGTGATTAATCCGATGAAATAAATAGTGTATTATCTGAATTCATTGGATGGTGATCAAACAAAATATCCTGATATGAAGAATATGGTTGATACGTAAGTGATGAGATATATTGTTCTGAATAATTATCTCTATTATGTGAGATTGTTCTAATTAAATATTCGTTTATATTGTGTTAGAGCTATACAAATATTCTGATCACAAAGACAAGCAAGAGTGCCAAAAAGTAAGGCTAACAACATTAGCTGGATCAGAGTGCAGGTACATTTTCACAATTTTGACTGTTATAGTGATTCTACTTGATAAAACTAGTTAAACTATATATCCTGCTAAATATTTGTTTGTTTTTCCATTTACAGTGTCCTCACCAGCACAATTGGATTGATTGTAGATATTTTGTATTGAGGTTTATGAAGGAAATTATTCATTCGGGTCAAATAGAGATTCCAAACATGGTATGGATTTATAATTTATATGATTTATTTTAATATTTAACCGATATTTCATCTGAGTAATTAGTTTTAAAACTAAATCATGCATGTTATGTTATATTATGTAGTACTTTGATGAATTCAAGTGTGGTACTTACTCGAAAGATAGATTGAAAGAAATTAAGGAGGAATGGTGTCAATACATTCTTGAGTTGAGATTTGTATAAGGTATATATATTGTCAAATATTGATGCGGGATAATTATATTTCTAGAAGTCGTATGTAGTTTTGGAATTATATGTATAGTGAATGTATTTGTAAAGTTATCGGTTTTGTAATTATATGTATAGTGATTGTATTTGTGAAGTTGTTGTGAGGATCAACTTGTGTTGAATTATAAGCAGGTTTATGTGTCATTGAATTACAATGATTATGGTATATATAAGGCCAAAGTGTTGAAATAAATGCCTGTGGTGAATGTAATTATTATAAGCAGGTTTATCAAAAAAAATATAAAAAATGGTGCAACATAATTCAACAAAAATCGTTTCTAAAAAATAGACAGTGCTTTTACCAAAAAATGCTATGAAAAAGTGATTTTAAAAAAAAAAATCAATGACGTGAAGAAAAGACAACGCTTTTCTTGAGAAAGCGCTGCTAAAGGGGGGGGGGGGGGGGTATAAAGAACGCTCCAAAAAGCGCTGCTATAGGGGGGAAAGGAAGGGGAAAGACATTGCTTTAAAAAACGCTGCTAAAGGGGGGGAATAGGCAACACTTTTCTTAAGAAAAGCACTGCTAAGGGGGGGGGGGGGGGGGGAATAGGCAGCACTTTTTAAAAGCGCTGCTATATGGGGGGGGGGGGGGGGAATAGAGAGTGCTTTTTTCAAAAGCGCTGCTAAAAGGTATTCAGCAAATACACTTTAGGCAGCGCTTTTCAAAAGCGCTGCTAAAGAGGTGGGGAATAGAGAGCGCTTTTCTGGAAAAACGCTACTAAAAGTGGGCATATAACAGTGTTTTTTCCATAAAAAAAGCGTTGCCTTTACCTTTAGCAGCGCTACTTTATGCAGCGCTTTTAAGTGTTGCTAAAGGCCAAAAAAAGCGCTGCTAAAGGTCTTTTTTGGCATAGTGAAAGATTTGAATGTGATTAGAATATTTTAATTAAATACGTGTAAGATTTTTTAAATGGATTGAGTGAAGATTAAATGTTTGTAAGGGATTACTTGTTTTAGAAATGAAAAGCGGAACGAACACAACCCAAGGAGTACGCCTCAAGAAAATCCGTTTAAGAACCCAAGAAGTGCTAGACCTCAAGAATTTAACGTCTCCATTATTAATTAAGAAAACATCTTTTGAGAAAATTAGGTTAAGTGTTTTAACTGAGTTAGGATTTTTTATGCTTTAAAAAGAAATAAGTGTTTTAGGATCGGAGGACGAAACAAAAACAACCTAAAGCGTGAACCTCAAGAGCATTCGTTCAAGGATCCAAGAAGTGCTAGACTCCAAAAACCCACTACCTCCAATATTTAATCAAGGAAAAGATTTAGAAGCATGAATTGTGATTTTAATTTAATTAATAAAGTATTTTTAGAGGTTAAGCATTTTAATCTGATTGTGTGTTTTAGAAATGAAATATTAAAACGATGACAACTCAAGGCGTGCACCTCGAGAGCGATCATTCAAGGATCCAAGGAGTGCTAGACTCCAAAAATCCACCAACTCCATTATTTAATTAGAAAAAAAAGTTATCTTGTATTAAAAATTAATTAATTAAGATTTCATAAAAAAAATTAGGCGTTGAAGGGTAAATTGAATTAGGATTCTTATGTTTGAATGGAATTAATAAGATTGACGTTAGAGCAAATTCGAAATTATCTATTTTAATTACTTAAGTAATATAAGATTAATTTATGAGTAATTATCACTTAATCTAATAAATGAGCAAAAATAAAATAAATAAAATGGAAATTATAATGATTTGAAGATAATTATATAATTGATTATTAAACTTGATTTACAAACTAAACAAAAATAAAATCTTATCATGCTTCATCCTTAATCTAAATAAATAGTCCTAATCATGTTTAGAATGAAAATTAAACCACATGGATTAAACTAATGTAGGCCCGAAGGCCCTAGATCTTGATACATAAGAGGACCAGAAGCAGACCTTGTATCCTCATTGAATTAGCCCAAGAAAGCCACAACCTCCAAACCCTAGACCATACACCCGAATTCCCCTTTTTTAAAAACAGCAAGAACAATGAAAAGGTCAAGGTTATTGCAGCGTCAGTTAATAATGTTTGGTGGTAAACGTGTTAATATGGGGAATAGACACACGTTAAAAGCCATTACCCAGTAATAATGAAAAAAACGTTCCAATCCTAGTCTTCCACCCAAAACTTTTCCTTTACCTTCTTAGATTCGACCCGTTCTTCTCCTTAAACTCTATCTCTCTCTGAAGAACAACTCAATGAGCTTCTCCTCATTTGATACCCTCACTTCAAAAAAAAAATCCAAACCACAAATAATACAAACACACTCTTCCAAATAGTTTAAATCTTGGATTCAACATCATCTAAGAAAAATCATCATGTTTTTAAATTCAGAATCAAAACCTAATCTTAAAAGTTCAACATGAATTCACAACCAAACACGCAATCAACAAATATATGGAGCCTCAACACTTTGTTAAGTTTAAAACAGAGAGCAAGGGATCTCGTTGGACATCGTTACCTTAAGTAAGTGGTTTCCTGGTTCTGTGGCTTAGGTCCCTCGTGTGTTACACCTTCCTTTGCTTCTCTCCTCCTTATTCTTGTCGTATCCTTATGATCTTTCCTTCCCATATTTTACTGCTTGTTGAACTCGGTAGGGGTTAAATGGCTCGATTCAAATGAGTCTCAGTGAACCCTATGTCGCAAGCTTTGTGTGAGGGTACGAGGGATAATTTTAACAGTTTTTCTTTAGGATTTTCGTGTGTGTTCTTCTGCCAATGATTGAGTGGCTTTATATAGGGGATTCTGAGGGTTATTGGTATGTGTGAGTTCATGGATTTTCAACAAAAACGTGTGAAATCATGGGATGGATTTTTCATTCCGTTAGGGAGAATCTGAGTGAGATTTTGTGGTGGGGGACCAAGGGTGGTGAATCATTCTTTATTTTTTCTGTAGTGCCCTTCTAGAACTTGTGATTTTTACTGCGTGAATCTTGAAAGTTTTCACTGTGCTGATGTGGTAGTCAACAATTTTGACTTTTGCTGCCTTTTGATAAACTTGTATCCTCCTTCATGGATGCTTTCCTCCATAATTCTTGTACTCTTCCCTCATGAACAATATGTTATTTTATTTATCATGCTGTATATCTCTTTTTTATTACTAATGTGTGTTTAATTCTTGATGTTCAAATGGACTGAGGATATCTCGAAGGCTTCCTGACTTGTGCTTTTGTGTTGATTTTCAGGTACTTGCTTGTTGGAAGTCTCTACCAGCTTGGCATCATATCATTACAAAGGCTTGCAAACAAATACATAATTGTGACTTTGCTACGGCTTGGACAAACCCCAACAATGGTTGTTTCATCAACTAGGCTAGCAAATGAAGCGTTGAAGACTAATGTTGCACTTGAAATCCAACCACGAAATATACCTGATGAAGATCATGAAATTCTTGAAGAATTCAATGTTGTTATCCTACCAAAAGAGGAACAAAGACAACCTCCTATCCATGTAAGTTTTAAATCCAAATCATTTATATTTGGTATGCTATAAAACTTCTTCAATTGGCTTTTCTCATAAAGAGTTAGCCTTGACATTTGGATCCAGTTTCCAAGATAGCCCATTCGTCACAGAATTACTTGAAATGATTGCTTCAGTGATGTTTCTTTATTTATGGTTTTTTTGCAGATATGTTTCATATAATTTTGTGCAAATGAATTCTTAGGACATTGCCTTTTGCAGCTTAATCTATAGAGCTTCTTGATGTGACTTGATTTGGACCTTGTTCTTATATTCATGACCCTTAAGTTGAATATTTCATGTTTCTGGTGATTTGGTTGGAAAATTGTCCTGAGCCTTGCTTCACTGTATACATTAGGATGAGAAACTTAGCATGAGCATTGCGATTAGGCACAACGGTGAAAGTATTGGCAGAAAAAAATGGAGCTACCTTGGAGTTTGATGAGAGTCTTGGTAAAGGAGCTTGGCATGGAAACAATCTTGGCATGGTGATACATTCGAAGTTTGGATGAGAGGATTAGGCAATTATACTTAGGAAGGCATACAATTTTGCCCCGGAACAGAAGAAGATCCAAACAATGGCAACCTTATCTTGGTGTTGATCGCTTATAAGACGCCAATACTTTTGAGGAAACCTTTTCTAATATTGTGACTTGTAATACAACCCTCTTGTTTGTTGCTTTTTGGCTAATATTACTCTCACTTCTCTTTTTGTGTATACTGTTTGTGGAATTTTGGCACAAAGATGAAAATAATTGTCTCACGTTTAGTTTGGAGTGATGGAGGTTTTAGCTTATGAATGTATTTGGTTCTTATTAGGTTTATGCTTGATGTAATTTGTAGTATAATGTGACAACAACTTATCCTTATTTGAAATGTAATAATTTTGTAACCATTGAACTCATTTGAACGATGTATTCTTGGCATTCCATTAATCTTGAGAGTCCTTACTTTTGAATCTCTTTGAAACTAAATAGAATTTGTATCTTAGAGCTTGAGACATGGCCTAGAAATCATTTTGAGATATGGCTTAAAACAACTCAAACACGTCCTGAAAACAAATCCCATTCTTAGCTTGAAGCAAGGTTGAAAACTTTTTATTATGGCTTGCAAATGAACTTGAAACAAGGTTTGACTTAAATTGAATCTCATGGCTTAAGACTAAATTGAAACAAAATGTATCATAACTTGGATAAAATGATCACAATTTGAAACAAATTAGATCAAAACTCAGTCACAAAATTGATTTTGAAACTTGAAACATCCTTAAGTAGGGATTGAGAAAACGAATTCTGATCATGGCCTCAAATCTCCCTGAATTATAACTTGAAAAAATAGCAGGGATTGAGAAAACGAATTCTGATCATGACCTCAAATCTCCCTGAATTATAACTTGAAAAAATAGCAGGATTTAAGCTTGAAACAAGACTTAGACTTATCTAAAACCACTTAAAACAAAAGACTCTACCCCGAAATGTACTAGTCATATAACTTGGGCAGTCAACCTTGTCTTGAAATTTGATAATAAGGACATACCTTCCTTTTACTTGAAAACACAACTTTGGCTAGAGTTTGTAATCACAGAAAGCACAAGCAAGAATCTCCATTAACCAAAACTTATAGAATTCTGGCTTGGGGCTAAATGATCATGAACCCACACAAATATTTAGCATAAGAGGATGAGAGGGTAAGACAAATTTGGGGTGTGACAGCAGGTGAGAGAGTGGAAAGTGGAATTAAGTCTGGAAAAATTCCGAATGGAAGTGGATCCTCTTCAAGAGGAATGAAGAAACCATATACAACAAACCCTAAAAAAGAGGGAAGGGGATGCTAATGCTATTTCTTACAAGGGTAAAAGTAGAGTGTAATCCTAGTCTAATCAGATAGTTGCACCTGTAGCTATCCTGACTACACCTTGTTGCACCCCAAAATTTGCCCAACCTTTTCTTTACCTGGTTTATGTTGCATTGCATTGCATGCCATTTTCCATGTACAGGGGATTGAAAGAGGTGTGCCTAGAAAGAGGAGATTACCAAAGTTTCCAAAGCCAAGCAAGAGGTCTCTTTCAAGCTATCAAGAGTTTATCATCCTCAGAAGAAAGTTAAAAGTCCTTTGAAAAGGCAGATGAATAGTTGTGGGTTGCCTCCTATCTTGGAGGCCATGTGAGATCATCAAATGATGTTGAGTCCATGGCCATGGATGAAGAGCATTAAATAAGCTCATTGGATGTCTTGAGGGTCACTGAGGGGCTTGTGCAAGTCATTATATCAAGTATACGAAGTCATAGTCAAAGGTGATGCAATTGGGGTTTTCATCTGGTCAACCCTAAGTCTACAGTGAATCTGAAGGAGATTAAGACTCAATTCCAAGTCTTTGTGATTATGGAATATTGTGGTGAGATGTCTAAGATGATATTCCAAGATCAAATCAAGAAGAATCAAGAGTGTGATAAGTTGCTAAGCTAGGGTTTCTAAGCTTGTCAGTGTAAAATCCCCTATTTAGTGCCTAACTTCAAGACCACATAACTCAAGATACAAGTTTCATCTCATCTTGACCCCAACATGAAAATTGTAGAGCATGTTCTTATCTTTCTTTTGAGTACTAGAAGTCATTCATCTGATATCTAGAACTCAAGTTATGAAGCTGGCAAGTTACAGGTCATCAGATGAATGTGATTTTGGTCAACAAAAGTCAAACAACTTCTAAGACATTTTTGACCTAGAAGGATGTCTCTCCTCACTTTGACCTAAACATGAAAGTTGTTCCTCATGATCTTATCTTTCCAAAAAGTGCTAGAAGTCCTTCATCTGATTTGTGGAGCTCAAGATATGAAGCTTGCAATGCAAGGGTATTTTGGGAAACTTTGATTATGTCATTTTGGTTATAGGTCAATTTCACCACTTTGCACACCTCAAATGAAACTTTTGCCAACATCAAATTTGCTCCAAATGGGGTCATTTACATCATCAAACATCAAGTTATCATTGACATGGCTTGGATGGAAGAATTGGTGAAGGAAAATTCCACGAAAGAGCATTAAAAGGCATAAAATCAAATAAATTCATTTTGAACCAATTTTTATCAAGTTGGTGCATTTTGAGTCCACAAATCATTCTAAACAAGATGCCAATTTTGGATTTGCAAATTGAGGGCATTTTCATGGTTGTTTTCATGCTTGCTTTAAGTGAAAGTAACATAATCAAATCCCACCATTGAGATCAAAAAAAGGGTTAATCTGGTCCATTGAGGTTCTTTACATCACCAGCATCATAAATGAACCAATTTAACAGCCATGGAAGCTCTGTTTTCGTGGGAATTTTGAAGCTTCAAGTCAAGAATTTTTGGATTTTCATTGGATCAAATTGGGCTTGGATTGGGATTTATCATTATCCAGATCCATTGTATATATTCTCAGCATTGTATACAAAGTTTCAGTTTGGATTTTGGAGCAAAATTGAGGTAGAAAACAGTTACACACGAGCAAGAGAAAGTGAGAATTGAATTCTTGGATTCAGCCAGTTTCAAGCAAAATTAAGCACATTAACATCTCCATTGAAGATTGTGGAAGCTTTCTGGATCGTTTTCTTCAAGAATCACCAAGGTTTCAAGGTCCAACGGAGCTATTCTGTTAGGTAACCTACTTTTCCAAATTACACCATGAATATGCCATGATTGCACGCCATTTTTGCATATTCATGTTCCTTAAGCTTCATAGTTGGATTCTGGTTAGATATTATGACTGTTAGTGACACTTTGTGATGAGTGCTTAGTTTTAGTTTGGATCGGTTTAGATGATTTAGAGCGTGTTAGGCTTAGGTAATCATGGATTCATGATCAGTGAGAGGAGTAGATGAATTTAGGCTTTGAGTTTGTGAGATTTGGTGAAGTTTCGTATCACCTGCAAGTTTGAAGCAATCGGAGAAGACGACCGGAGCCGCTGTGCTCCGGCGTCTGTGATTCTCCCTCCAATGTTCATGTTTGAATCTCTCATAAGCCACGTGTCCTCACCTGTGCCTTTAGATTTGATGACTGATCCATCCAACACATAGAATCACACCAAAACTCAGCGTTTCATTAAACGCTTGCTTGGACTGGGCTTTGTTCAGCTAACCACACCCCCTGCGTGCATAGGCCCAACGTTTGAATGTGATTTCCTTGCTATTCATACCACAACTTTTCCCTTTTTCATTTCTTTTTCTTTATTTTCACATTTTACAATCTGTTTTATTTTAATTCAATTAAAATACTTCTAAATGATGAAAAATCCTACAAAAATAATTTCTACTCATATCAAGATTTAAACTAAAGTTAGGAATTTTAATTTTAATTTTTCTAAACATTTTTCAATTAAAAAACAAATGTTCATTTGGAAGGGTATTAGTTTGAATAAAAATTGCCTATGCTTCCTTCTTGATTTTCTTTTGTGATGAGAACTTCAAATAAATGCTTGGAATTTTTTGTGCACATCCTTAACATGTTGATTGATTTTATGATATTTTTTCTCTCTGTTTTTGGTACCTTTTGATTAGGGTTTAGGCTTAATCTTTAGGACTTTCCCTCTTGCCTAGTTTGTAGGACTTTCGTTAGGATTTTCCTTCTGTTGGCATAGCTAGGTTAGGACTTAGGCTCCCCTCTTATGACCCCTGGTTCCTAACACCAGAAGGGTCTCATGGAATTTTATTTAGAATTTTTAGGATTGATTTACTATTTTTAATGTATTTTACACTTTAGGTCACCCTTGTAAGATTTTCACCTCTATACTTGTGCTAGTTTGAATCTTATTTTCACCTCTATACTTGAGCATTATATCTTTGTGTATCCATGCTGTAGACATAATAAGGTGATTGTATGTTTAATTTTAGGCCTTGATCATGTTCACAACTTGTTTAAGTTTGGCCTCCTTTTAGGACTTCCATTTAAGGTTTTCATATGTGTATGTTGAATGATCTTCACTTCCTTAACATGATTCCCTTGCTATTTCTTGTATGTTCCTTTTCAAATGCTTTATGTACATTATACTTTCATCTCCCTTTCTGTCCAATTACCATGGAGCACCATTTAAAGTTGCTTAATCCCTCCTTAGAAGGTATTTGAAGCTTGACTTGAATGGTGAACCATGAGGACACATTTTTGTGCATCTTTTGCACAAGTCATAATGAGACTTTGGTTGAATGACATTAGGG